TGTCCATCATTAACATAATTATAATCATCATCATTACAGCCCTTCACAAGTCCACTGCTGAACATAGGCCTCCCCCAAAGTATGCCACAAAGCACGTTCTTGAGCCACCTGCATCCATCGACTTCCTGCATGCCTTACCAGGTCGTCACTCCATCTAGGGGGGGGGGGGGGTCAGCCCTCACTTCGCCCACCGGTACGAGGCTGACTCGTGAGAACCTTTTTTTCCCAACAGTTGTCGGTTCTTCGAGCTATATGGCCGGCCAATTGCCACTTCAGCTTACTAATCTGTTGGGCTAAGTCAGTCGCTCTGGTTCTACTACGGATATCCCCATTTCTAAGTTTATCACGCGGAGAAACCCCAAGCATAGCCCTCTCCATAGCTCGCTGAGCGACTTTGAGAGTCCTAATACAGTCAGCAGTGAAGGACCACGTCTGGGGTCCGTAGGTCATCACTGACCATACGCACTGGTTGTACAATTTCGTTTTCAGGTTTTGAGGTACACCTGACGAGAATGTAACGTAATTTTCCGAATGCTGCCCAGACGAGTTGAATCCGTCGATTTACCTCTCGGTCAAAGTTGGAATTACCTAGTCGGACTATTTGTCCCAGGTAAACGTACTCATCAACAACTTCGAGCTTTGTGCTTTTAAAATATTCCTTCCATCTCTTTAGACTCAAAACTTCATCATCAGGTAACAATCAGTTTAGAAACGTTAACTGTTTCCGAGGAGAAGATCGCTTATATGCGTACGCACTGTTTAATTTCTTAAAATGGCTACAGAAGTATAACTTCATCTAACCCTTCACCCATTACACCAATCCACTGCTAAACATAGGACACTCCCGTAGATTTTCTTAAACGTGGGACTTAGGTTGTCAAGCTTGGCGGGGAGTTTGGTAACCGCACGTTGTTATTTTGAGTTGTAATCATCGAAGGTGACAACGTATCTAAATTACTTTTTGTTTGAAGTTGGTTGCAAGTTTCCATGTGCTGCAGTAGCCAATAACCATCAAGTGGACTGGAAGTTCATTTATCACTTAGTCTCGTGTTGATATAATAATCAAAGACTTTCTCATAGTCCACATACGCGAGACATAGTAGCAGATTGTACTCATCGGTCTTCTGTACAATTTGTCAAAGGTTATGTGTGTGATCTATGGTGATAAAATCTTTGCGGAAACCGGTATGTTTGGGAGGCTGGAAGTCGTCGAGTTTGCGTGCGAGACGATTCGTAATGACTCTCAAAAACAGCACATAGATGCGGCTCAGAAGTCAAATCGGTCTGACGTTCTTCAGGAGAGCGTTGTCACCTTTCTTGAAGAACAAGACCACAACACTTCTCCTCCACGCCTTCGGAGTAGTGCTACCATGGAGGACGGAATTGAAGAACTTCTAAAGGACTTTAAGTATTGATTTTCCACCCTCTTTATAAGCTCCGCTGTAATTTCATCCCCGCCCGTGGACTTGCAGTTCTTAAGATGCTGGAGAGCCATTTCAATCTCGCTCAGACTGACGTCTGGGATATCATCGGAATAGCGTCGGATAAGACTTTCTCTTGCATCGTTACTCACACTTGCGTTTGGCTCCAATGATGACGTGTACAACTGCCCATAGAACCTCTCAATCTCACTCAGAATGTCAGACGTGCCGGAAACGATGCTGCCACATTCGGTCTTCAGCCAAAACATTCAGCTCTTACTGGAAGACAGTCAAATCTGCTGAAGACTGCAGCTTCATCTCCCGTCTAACAACCATGAAATTAAAAGTGTGATCGGAGGTTTTTGTGTTCTTCTGCGACGAGTCTACAGAAATTAGCTCCGATCGTATGGACAGTTTCCAGAAGCTTGTCATTGATATCGTACACTTCATTGCAATCTTCTAAGCACTGAAAACAATTCCGTAACTCGAGTTGAAAGTTTTCGGAGCTTTTGATTAAAGCACGAGGGGGACGAAGCGTTGACTTCATTAAACGGGACCCTACCAACTTCACGTTTAGGTTCAGTGTGCCTCTCACCAATCGGTGATCGCTGCGAGTTTTCACCCTTGCAATCACTGAACATTTGTCGTCTGGTCGTCATAATGAAGTATATGTACAATTTGACGAACTTATCGCTACAAAGCGATTTCTTCCAGGCAACCAAATGTGTAAAGGAATAAAACGATGAATACCTACTGTGTAGGTAGTGCAGTACAAACATATCTAATATAATAACAATGCATGCGATATATAGACAATACAAGCAATAAATTGGAATAAGTAAGTAAATATCTAATAAGTACATGAAATAATATAAATTTAAGGATTCTATATGGATGATAATACCCCCTGGAAATTAAGTTACCGATACCAAGATATTTCTAATTTGTTTTGTGTAGTAAATTGTGTAGTAAACATAATATGATATGATTGCAAGGTGTTCTTTTTTCAAAAGTATTATACAAATAAACTAATGAGTATTTTCCAAATCAGTGGTAAATTAAATATAAGAATGGCTTTTAATAAGTATTATTTATATTCTACATTGAATAATAAATTACTATTCCTATTTCTTACACCGCCACTAGGTACAATATCCATGTAAGATTTGTTCTGTAGGCAAACAATAATTTTGTAGAAAAACAACAAATTTGGGAAGATAACCCAGTCCAAATTAAATGGGACTTTTGAATAAAGCGAATAGCTTTAGTACGGAGAATTGGAAATATGTTCAAAGGTATGCAAATCAAATACAAAAACGAGGGGTGACTAAATTGATCAATAATGCGAAATCCGTCGCGGAGGTCTCATATATGCAGTGACAGGCAAGTTAACATTATTATTATAACGATAAATATGCGACGTTGCCAAACTTATTCATTTTCAAAAGCGCGCGAATCCGCCCGACTTACGAGATGGTTGTTTGCGACGGCGAGAGACCTGGGATCCAATTGATCTACTATATAGCTCGGACGGACAAGGAATTTCCCGCACCGCACGCGCACCATAAGCGAACTGGCAACATTGTGAAGTGAGATTAATTTGCAAATTAAAAATATCAATCGCTTGCGAGTTACGATTTGACAGGTATTAATAATTATACCTAGTTAAATATCATATTACTTATATTTTTTATTTTTAAGTTGATTTTAAATATATTTAGTTATAAATATTGAAAATTAGTCGAAAAAAATATTTTTTGTTAGACGAGAATTTATTTTTAAAAAGCCGTATGCAGTGTTGTTCTTTACATATAAAAAACATAATGATGACTTGTAATGGTGTTTTAACCTAGTTGAAATACATATTAGACTGTGATAAATTGCATATAACCTTATCCCTCTTTTCTCGAAATCAATTAATGTGCAAAAACATTACTCTCAACTGGCTCCTTTAAGCAAACCTATGCAAAAACAGAAAGTCATTTGGATGTTGTCGTGTAAAATACACACACGCACACACGCGCATACGCGCACACGCGCACACACGCACACACACGCGCGCGCGTGTAAAGTCAAGGCGGCTCTGCCGGCATGAAATACTGTCCCACTCTGCTGAGCATGCCAAGCTTTTTAGAAACCAATTTGGCCTTCTCTTCCGAACGACCACGAAACTGCACATTCTTCGATATATCGACGCCGCTGATTCCGATACTGGCTAAGACAACACGGGGAGTGCCTTGAAACTCAGGAACTTTGAAAAAGGGGTTCTTTTTAGGGGTAAACGCGCAAACTTGTGTCTCCTGAGGATTGTAATATTTGACGCTATTTCATCATCATCATCATTACACCCTTTCACAAGTCCACTGCTGAACATATGCCTTCCCCAAGTAATGCCACAAATCACAGTCCTGAGCCACCTGCATTCATCGACTTCCTGCATCCATCGTCTTACCAGGTCGTTGTTACTAGTGAGTAAGTAATGAAAATAACTCGCACACAAAACTTATGCTTGCGTCGCTTTTATTACATTAATTTAGTTCTGCAGTTATATGTTGACTAGTCTATTACGTTTTTATAACTTATGTGTTAGCGTTTGTCCTTATAAATGCCTTTTCTTTTCTTTTTTCTTGCTGAATTAAAAAAATGGACTGAACTCTGCTAACACGCATTGATGCGCCGGGCTGTTCGGAGCAGTAGGTACGTAGATGTTTTTTGATTTTTATTTTAATATCACAAAAACGTTTTATGTATTTTTATAATAACATTCAAAATGTATAGTGACTTTAAGCAAGTGAGTTAGTATATTCTATTTAATTTCAATAAGCAAATTAATTTGGCATATTCGGCGTATAAAGTCTGTATGCGTCCTACTGCTGAAGATACTGTTTGCTGATAACGAGGCACTCTATATTAGGCCTCAGGAATGGCAACGCACCTATATTCTAGTTCTTAATCGAGGATAGACGAACGTATCTTGAGCCATAATATTTACTTACCATTGCTTGTTTGTTACTCTTATTCTATTAAATATAATAAATTAAAAATTACTTAAAGTTTTAGACGTAATATTTCTTTAAATCATTCTCAGACTCAGAAATTAAAGGACTTAATAAAAAATTCTTTATCATCATAAATATACAATACTTAAGTCGAACATATTCATTGATTCGAAATTTGAATTTATGACTGCGTAATTTAATAGCGCTTGGAGTTGAAAGGGTAGCGTAAACTCTCGTGCCCACTTCCTGACATAAAGCTCCTAAAATACTCGTATTTTATAAACGTCATCTTTACTGTCGTATGCACTTCCTAATTTAACCTCCTAAGGCCCAAAGTCCTTTTTAAGGGAATAAATAATATGTGTGTTCAGACCCAGCATCAAATATGGTTACTTCTTCATGCAGGCCCAAGTCCTTTAAAGAGGTTCAATTTTAAAATCACATTTTTCAAATTTAAATGGACCTCCAAATAAATATTTGACATTTAAGACGAACCTGGAAGACTTATTTAATCTGTTACCGGAAGTCGTAATCATTGATTTAAAAATTGACCTCGTGACGCCATTTCTTTTTCGACACAATGGCTGACTTTAGGAGACAGGGTGAGTAAATCTTTCTTTATCCTTGTGATCAGACATATCAGCACGGTTTTGAATAAAAAAATATGTGTGGCTATATGTTTTCCGTAATTATATTAAATATTTTTTTCATTTTACTATCGAAAATGATGCATTTAATTAAACCAAACTTTTTGATACTTTAAAAAGTATCGCGGGCTTTTATACCAAAAAATCCGTATTATTTTAGACCTATACAAAGGTCTTTGGGTTATTATGTTTACTTAAGATGAAGTGCACGTTAAGTTAATGAGTTAAACTAAAATACTTTTTTTGAAAATTTATTTAGGTAGGTACTTACCAAATATTATTGTTGTTTCTAGTCTATATTTAATTAACAAAAAAATAACTTTTTTTCGGGAGTAAATAGCCAACAAATAGTTGATTTACTTCTTGATTCAGAATTTGAAGATGAAGCAGCTGATATCAATGAAATTGATGATGGGCTGATGGCAGGCATTTATAGTGTGTTATCACGAGATAAAGATTTGTCACATTCAGGGTCCTCGAGTGTCAAGAGATTGGAATTGGAATCAAGTGTTTCATATTCTCAGTCTGAACTTTTCGACAAAGATATGACACCCGCACCTTCATTACAAAGAAAAGGACGAGATTGTAGCACGCAAAAACGTGGACTTCACTATCATTGTAATACTTGGTAGTACCTTATACTTGCTTATATACTTGCTTATGTACTTGCTTATATGCTTGTTTACTTATATACTTGATTATATACTTGCTTATGTACTTACTTATATACTTGCTTGTATACTCGCTTATATACTTGCTTATATACTTACTTATAACTTGCTTATATTCATGCTTATATATTTGCATATATACTTGATTATATACTTGCATATATACTTGTTTATATACTAGTTTATATACCTTATTATATACTTGCTTTACTTGCTTATATAGTTGCTTATATACTTACGTATATACTTGCATATATACTTTTTTATATACTTGCTTATACGGATAGAACTATAATATATAATAATTAAAATAGAATTATATTAGACCTTTGCAGTTAACGTTCACAAATGACTTTTTTGCGGCCGAAACAAAAAACCAGTCACGAGTTTGGGTGTTCGAAAATGAGTTAAAGCCAATAAAAATTGTTCGATCACGGAGTGTTGCAAAAAAATGGTGGCCACGTTTGTCTCCAAAATCGGCCATGTTACGACTATTCCTCTTGAGAGACAAAGAACGGTTAATGCAAAATGGTATGCTAGCATTTGTTTGCCACAGGCCGTTTCTGAACTCCGTAAAGAGAACTGCAACCGCCGCATCATCCTCCATGATGTGCGAGTTCTCACAACGCACACAGAACAAAAGAGTTTTTAGAGCAAGAAAACATAAAATTATTAGACCATCCGCCGTACAGCCCCGACCTAAGCCCTAATGATTTCTATACTTTCGGTATTTCTACACTTACCGTCAGGTGGACTGTGTGCTCGTTTGTCACCGTATTCTATAAAAAAATATTCTTACATTGTCATTACACGGTGAATAAAGCTTATATTTTACATAAATGTATTAATTGATTTCTTAAATATTTTAGTTAATTACCCCAACCAAAAAATTTCCAATAATTGAATCGACATTTAGATATTTTTATATCATTGGGTGACAAGCTGAGCACGCAGTCCACCTGCTGGTAAGTAGATGCTGTGGCCCATAAACCCCCCAGATTAATACTCAATAAAGGATCAAAATGTAAATCCATTGTTACCCCTGAGTGACTCAAAAGGAACGCCTCGATTCTAGTAAAAAGGGTCTCAGGTTCTCTACACTCAACATACGAAACACAGCAACATTACGCCGACATTCTGTGAGAGCGTGGTCCTGCCCCGGTGGACCATTCGTGCTACAACTATAATATAGCTTTAGCTTGGCTCCACCACGTCTAAGTTAACATAGTCATCCAGTATATACGTCCCACTGCTTATCACAGGCTTCCTCTCATTTATATTGGCGGATTAGTACAAGAATCTTTAGAATTAAAATCTTATTACGCTAGGCGTAGTGTAGTAAAGGTTTATTAATCCAATATTTACATTATATTATAATTCACAGTAAGTACATTATTAGTAAGGCATTATCCGATACAATAAAAAAATATATTTTGAGATATCCCCCACGCTTCTCCTATTGCCTCTAACTCTTGAGCATTCCTGACTCCCGTATGGTTCCCATCCAGGAAATCACATTGCAATAAAACAGATTTATTTTTTAATTCATTGGAAAAGAAGTGTGCTGTAACTCCCAAATACTGGTCCAAAGTTTTAAATGGCCAGCAGTCAACTGTTAAGAATACAGTTCCAGCGTTTTCTTTAACAAGTTTTTTAAAATATTGCCTTCGTTCTTCATAAAACGCTGGCAACATGAAGAAGAAATTGTCTTCCTGCTTGGTAGTTCATATGATGGACTTAAAACACGTACAAACTCTCTAAATCCAAGGTCATCTACGATTGAAAATGCTTGAAAGTGCCGTGTAGTGGCGGTTGAGAATATCCACTACCCCATATCTTCCCGTGGGTGTCGTAGGAGGCGACAGAGGGACACAGAAAGGAGATGGGCAGCAGCATCTTCCTAATAACAACAATAATATAATAAAAAACTGCGGTTGCCAACCCGCTCGCCAAGCGTGGCAACTATGGCAAATATCCCCCCATGAGCAACGACGCAAATAAACGGCCTCCAGGCCCCGGCGGCCCCGCTATTCCTGGCTACGGTGGCAACCATGGTAACGGCGGGGCAGGGGGTGCTAAGAATCTCCGGTGGAGCTTCGGTTGCCACCTACGACGACTCGACCTGGCAACGTATAACGCACGCACCCTGAGGACTGACGAGAAGATACTGGAGCTGGAAGAAGAGGTAGATAAGTTGCGCTGGCATATTATTGGATTATCTGAGGTCCGAAGAGAGGAGGAGGACACGGTAATCCTCGAGTCCGGCAACTTGTTCTATCACCGGGAGGGCGACCATCTGTCCTGCTTTAATAAAGCAAAGCGGAGATTTATTTTATTTTATTTATTTAATGACATTTACAGATTATATAATTTTATACATTTAAAATTACATAATTTTATAACATCGCCAAACTGTAAAGACAGTTTTTTGGCGAATAAATGCACAATTATATCCTAATTGCATAATAAAATTAGTACTGAACCCACATAATATAACAAAAAAATAGAAATTTTAAACATAAACACTATTTTTCCACACTCTATCAATTCCAAATATAACACCCCACCCACATAACATTGCAACAAAATAAAAAATAAAAATTGTAAATATAATCCGGATATATTATTCAAATATTACAAGCAAATAACAGTTTTCTAACTGGTCATACATCTAGACTTTTATCCAAAAAATAATTCCCAAGTTTCTTTTTAATAGTTAATTTGCAATTAGGTCTACCTTACCTTAGCCAATCAATTACATTAAAAAGCTTTGGTATTAAATATTTTGTACATCTTTTACCATAGTAGTCTTTAACATAAGTCTGAAATAATTTTCTATATTTATTATCCAATTTTTCGTTATAATGGTTTTTATTAATGTTTTCAAAACTAATAGTATGTTAACTTTGTGTTCTACCGGTAAAATTTTACAAATCGAGAATAACTTATTATAACCTTTCATACATTTTTCTTTAACATTTTCGTTTAAAAAAAAAAGATTCCCGATTGCATTGCGTTCCGAACGGAGATCGCGGGACTCCTCATATACGTTGAGTATACGAGGCATTCCATTTTAGTCCTTAGGGGTAACAACGCGTCTGCTTTTTGGTTCTTAGACGAGGATAGAAAGCATCCACTCACTATCGGGTGGACTATTTGCTCACTTGTCGTTAAATAACTGAAGAGAATAAAATTATTTTAAATAATAGCTTTTGAAGTCGGTTCCAGGTCTGTAAAATTACAGCCTATATACGACCAACTGCTGGGCACAGTCCCCTTCTCACTTCTGAGTGGGTTTTAAAGCTTCTTTGACATAGCCCTGTATACCTGCCTGCCTGTCCTGTATAGAAGAATTAAAGCTTCCGGCTTCAAAAGCCATTAAGTGAAAGAAATTGTTTTATTCTTTTTAGTTATTTAAAGTCGGTTTTTAATATTTATCAAAAGATTTATTAATGACCTTTTGAGTTTACTTAGAAATATCACGTAAGCATATATCTTTTTTATCGTGGTAAAATCGTCATGGATACCTTCCACTGCGGGTGCAACGAATTATGCCGATCTCCGACCGGCTAAACAACAACTCTTAAGACACTCACGGGATGATTACGGGATATCACGGGATGAGGGGGTATTGTATCGCCTTAGATATTGAGTATTATAATTCTAATATGCCTAAATAAATTGTATCCATTTTTTAAATGTTAATTTTAATATTAAAAAACAAAAACGTATTCAAATGAAACTGCAATAACATACAATTTACAAGCACACGCTCCACAGAGGGAGAATGAAATGTTCCAATTCAATACATACTTGTGTGGTGAGATGAAGACATTTTGTTACAAGTTTCCGAGTCATTTCTAAGATGGTTCATAAAAATACTGAATATAATTATTACTGAATATAATAATTGATTTATCTAATTTTATTACATACATATCATACCTATAGGCTAACTTAACAAGTAAAAATAAAATAAAAAGTTAACGTACATTTAAAGTTGAAAAACGAATAAAAAATTATATAATTTTTAATATAATAATATATAATATAATTTTTTAATGTTATCGTAGTTTTGTTAGAAATAAAAAACGTAAAAAAGTAAGTCGTTCTGTATATGTAATATTGAATTTTTTTTTATTTCTTAAACATCCTGGTTTCTCATGACAGTTTCATTTACCGCTGAGATTGTGAGAAATCACCGCTTAGAGTCTCTGCCGAAAAGGTGACCTTCATAAACCAATGTAAATAATTTCGCACAGAAGCCGGTGAAATAGCAGTTTGATGATGCGTAGTATATGATGAGGAATAGAGACCATTTTTATTGATAACATGGCGTTCCATTTCAGTCCTCAGGGGTAACAGCGCTTTTGTATTTTAGTAGTTTTATTCGATTCATATACGTGGGGTCACTTAAGGCTTCCGTCTAGCTTTGCTGTTTTACATTCCCAGCTATTTAGAAGGGGCGCTCTCCCCCGTGCATAAATACGTTCGAGATCGCAGGTGAAGGTGCTCTACATCATTAAATATATAGCTTATTAATTTTTTTCCAAAAATATTCATTTTACTTTTGTCATGATAGTATAATTTTTTACTTTTTATATTTCATAAATGTCGTTTTTAGTAATGTTTATACGGGTTGTATGTTTAAAAAGGGTATATACAACCGAAGGAAAATAAAAACTGCCTCTTCATACAAATTTGAGATAATTTGAGAGAGAATCATGGGGAGAATTTTCACGCATTTCTTGTTAATAAATGGAATATAGGTAAAAAGTACGAAAATATATATTTTTAAGCTATTGCATAGCTTCTATCGCGGGCCTTGAGCGCGGGGGATCGAATACAGAAATTCCGTAACGAAAAAAAACCTCACGCTCCCCACTCCGACGGGCACGGAGGTGTGGCGTTGAAAGCCGTGCATCGTCTAACGTCGTTTTAGTTCGGCAGACTTCGGCACG